AGAGAAAAATATCTCTCTCTCTCTCTCTCTCTCTCTCTCTCTCTCTCTCTCTCTCTCTCTCTCTCTGTATATATTTATTTTTAGATTAGATGATGATAGCAGGATCAAACAAAATTTCATATATATTTTTTGGGGGGTTTGACCTGGTTTTCTGCATTAAAGACATTAGATAAATTTAGTAACTTCTTGTCTTGTAATTCGGCACAGCCAGTTGAAATAATTAACTTTGTCTAATATTAGATAAAATTAATTTCACAACCAGATTATATTATCCGACAATGGGGTAACAGAACGAAGGGTACACTTAAATAATGATACACGAAACTGTCAAACGATCATAAACAAATAGATTGATTTATGACTCCGCTAAACAAAAACAAATGCCCATGAATGCAATAAAAGATTTCAAAAAGATATTGTTGTCTTGCAGGCATGAACGTTCTTGCTGAACAGTTCTCTTAGGATAGTGAATCATACATTGGATTGTTAGTTAACAAGTATACTCTTAACTGTTTTCCAAGAACGAGTAATAATATTCTCGTTTACTAAGGGAAGAATCTAATTCTACGATGTATATAGTGATTCGAAATTTACAATCAAATTGAGTCTCCACGTATGCAATTGACTTCTGTTTCAAAGTTCACTCTAGGAGGTACTAAACAATCTTGTTTTGCTGTCTGTACAATAAAATGAAGCCGTTAGCTAGGTTTGAAAAGTTCCTCATGAAGGTTCTCTAGAGAAATTAATACTGCAGTTTTTTCCCAATCTTTAAAATAACAATTTTAAACCACCATTCTTAAGTTCCATTTGCTTATTTCATCCTATTTAGAAAATTTCATTAATATCAACATTAAATTTTTCTAAAGTAAGGCGCACGAGCTAATTTTTGGACGGGTAAAATTGACGATACAATATACTTGAAACATAACTTATTGTCCCAATATAAATATTTTATTCAATTTCAATAGCTTTACTGTTGTCTTCATATACCACATTCTCTATCAGCTACTGTTATGCTACCAACTGTCAATGATCATAGCATCGTCGACCAATGTTGCGCCCTCCAAACCAAAAGTTGTGGCTCCGTCCAGATTGAGAATTAGTTTGCTTTAAATCGGTGAGCAAAATGTTGACCGTTGTTCTAATAAGGTCATAAGGTCATTTACCCTACCAATTAGGGCATGCATTTTATCTTGATTGTTGCGATAGTCTGTTCGAAAGTAATGACATTAGTATACTTTGAACATATTTTGAATAGGACCATTAAAGTGTAGATTAATTCTATAACATGATCATGCGATAAAATTAAACTACATGCAACTTTCTCAAGGATCACCTAGATCTAAACAGTTAGTGGTTGTTATTTGTAAACTCAAGGTTCTTTGATTTACTAATGAGTAAGATCAATGGACATAATTACGTACCTTAGTACATTGTGAATTGATAGGATTCGAAACGGTAAGAACATATTTGCATTTAGAATTCCTGCTTGATGGTTAAATAAATTCACTTAAGTTTTTCTTTTAAGAGCAATTTTAAATTGAACTCAGTGTTTAGAATTCCTCTCCCAGTCACACACGTCAACCCTATCATGAACTTGATTTTTTTGGAATGAAAGCAGGCCGTTCACAATTCAGTGTAACAAAAAGTATTTTATTCCATCGATCCAAATGCCTATCATTTGGAAAAGTTATTCTCTTTTTCATCCTTAAAAAACCTTAAGAATTACATGAACAATCAAAAAGAAAACATTTTACTGCACTTGTGTAAGACAAGACTTTCAAAATTTGATTCATCGGTCTTGCTTTACCCTGTTGCATAACTGTTTTTTATGCTTGGAAACTTTTTGCTTCCATGATATTCTAAGGAGGGACAAAATAAAACCATTAGATTTCTGTCATTAACATAGAAGAAAAAGTAGCACCTATTTGGATATAGGACATATTACATTGTAAAAAAGTCTTCTTCAGTGTGTCTACAGGTTGAAGTTTCATTGTTCTAACAGCATCCATTTTATTTTATTTGAGAGCTTCTCGAGCCGGTTGAATTAAAAAAATGTCAAGAGGATCGAAATTTGGAAATTATTGTATCTTACTGTGTTGGGATTTTCTTATCAATCAAATCAAATATTTCATCTCCAATTCCAAGTCCAAGCATTTTGGTCATGTCTTTTGTCTTTAAACTCAGCATTGGAATGTCGTTTTCCTTCAACCAAGAGTATACAACAAATACTTTCCAGGTAATGAACAATTCTAGTGCCTCTGGGTTGAATACGACTCCCATTCTCAGACTTATCTGCCAACCATAAAACCAGAGTTAAAAACTTGTAACCTGTATGTTGAATCAGCATCCCATCTAAAAGTTTAAATCAGAAAAGAATTGGATTTGTTTTTCTAGATTTGTGGAGGATTTTTGCGTAGCTCGTGATTAACCCTATCACTAAGGGATTGTTAGTATAATTATTTCGAGCCTTGTGCCGACCATTCTCATATGTATTGTTCGCTTTCAGAAGGCATCTGCCCTCTTACCTCTCACAAATCTCTATCATGTCTCTAAGATTTGAATTCAAGACCCCTGCCTTATGAGAAACGTAAGCTAAATCTTGGCACCAATTGAGCAATGCACAATTAGTTCTAGATCGGTCAGTACTTAAATTAAAGGCTTGGGCAAGACATGGGTCATTACAGTCAACATGTCCAACAACATTTATGTGCAATTGAGATGTGTAATATAGAACGTGAAGACAAACCTCACATTGCAAGCCCAATTTATCGTGATGAGTTAGGCCATGAACTTTATCAAATCTTTGTAAAAAATAACTACGTTATTCAAAAGTTTAAAATTTCTCATGTACAATGCAGGTCGATATGATACATGATGAGGCACCAGCTTCATTGCATACCGTGCAAGCTCTCCTGGTCGCCAGCCCAATACAACAGGAAGCCATGGATACATAGCATGCAATTGAACAAACCACATCCTTATATCAGGAAATTCGTAAAGCCAATAGTACCTTCCAAGAACTCCTTTGGATTTGCATTTGCTGCAACGAAATCAGCCAATCTAAGTATGTTATGTCATTCAAATATTTCCACAATAGTCCTTCTCTTCTCCTTACCAGATAGAGGTGAACTTATTCCATTTTCACTTTCAAATGGGATTAAGTTGAGACCACAAATAATACTACTGATTACTACTTCATACCAGCCTTCTTTCGGGGACATTGGTGGTAAGTGCTTCCAGCGTCTCTGTCAAGAAATAAATTTTCAGATGAGAAATATCTAAAATACTTCTTAAGCATTATTCTATAACTAATAATAAAGCAAAGAAAGAAAAAAAATCATAAACCAAAACGAACAACAAAAAACTAAGTCTTGTTCCCAAATAATTATGCTACATAAGTCGTCATTCCTTTTGTTCATCGATCCTCAATTGCTACCACCCACTTATTTTATCCTTAAAACAAACAACATATAATGAATGGATATAAGGAACCTTTATATTTTCATCATCATACAGGGAGAGATCCTAGTTCCCAGAAGAATTGAACTCCAGCAGCAACTAGTCGGTGTTGAATTGTATGTAACTGTATGGAAGAAACAGCAGAGTCCGATGTTGATTTGCAGTAAATCAATGGAGTTGAAGAGTGAATATTAATGGACTGTTTGAGTGGAGAAAAAAGTGGATAAAGAAGTCTTATGGTAGCCATTAAGGGAGCATTTCATTACGAGCATGAAATTTTGTATGGAAGGAAAATAAATTCCAGACAATCCAATTGCCTAGAACTTATTTGTACGTAAATTATTAATTAAATATATTTGATTAATTTAATTTTCAACTTAAAAAATATTATTGTATGACGAAACTTTAGGCATTAAAATATAGAAATCATTACAAATTGTATTTTGATAAATACAAGTGATGTTGATCTTTTTGTAATTGTAAAATTGTAGAAATCCTCTGATTAATGATTTGAATATTTGAAGACGAGGGGCCATGAGGCTTGAATCCTGATCTTCGAGAATTTGTTAAAAATTTGATTTTTTGATAATGACTTGTTCGGTACTTGAATTTCAGGGCTTAAACTTGAATTTGATTTGATTTGATTTAAAGAAGACTTTGATCTTCTTGGATTTTGCGTGAACCTTTTTGATTTGAAGAAGATTTTGATCTTTTTGCAGTTCACCGAATTTAGGTTTGAGAGGATTTCTTCCCTTTCCTCTGACCTTCAAATTTCTTCAGCACTTCGTGATTATGTTCTCTATTTCTTTCTTGCTTTAACTTTCACCTTTTCTCCTCTGTCTTATGAACCATTGGTCATATTTATAAAAGAAAATTTATGCTAATTTTAGTAATTACTCAATTAGATTTGATTAAAATGAATAATTGAGTAATTATGATTTTTTTTTTTTTGGTTTATTTATTTACTTATTTAAAGTGTGAAATGGGCCTTTGGATTTATAGACTTTTGTAAACTTTAATTTAACTGGACTAATGATTTAAATCGATCCAAACCATTTTATTTATTTTCTTTTATTTATTATTTTTTTATGTCTACAATTATACTTATTCATTTTTTATTAGTGGGTGGATAGATAAGAGATAGCAAGAGAGAGTAAATTAACTAGAAAATAAAAACCACTCCTCCCTAAAGAAAACGTTTTCTTTGCTTTTGAGAAAAATATAGACCCAAAAATTGGAATCTGAGTGAGAAAATGACATTTTTCATAAAAATAAAGCCAGTTAAACACACTCTAAGTGGAGAAGAAGAGGCTCGTGTTACAGTTAATATAGTTTTGTGTGTCCATTCATTCGGTCTATCTCTTCTTCACTGCGGCTTTGAGTTTGAAACGCTAATGGTAATCCTGACAGCCCAATAAGCAAAATATATACAAGAAAAAGAAAAAAAAAAGGTTTAAAATTTTTTGTATATTGTTCTTTATAGCATTTAAGATCACTTTTTTCCAATGTTTTGAAAGTTAGCCGGGAATCAACCCGAAAATGATTAAGGGTCAAGGATCAAAATGTTCAATCGTGATCGAATTGGATACCAAAATTAAATAAATAAATACACACAAACTATAAAATATAAATTTTTTAAATTTAGCACTAATAGTTTAAAGGAAATATAAATATATGTTTGTAAATTAGATTTATTATTCTATATTTAATTTTAAATCAAAAACTAAAAATCAGACCAAATAATTTTCTTTGAAATTGCTTTTCTGAAGGCCATTTAAACCTTGTAAATAATTCCTATTGTTTGTTTGGCATTTGGGTATATCATTTCATTTATTGTAAACTAAAAATCTGACCAAAAGCTAAACTTTGTATCCAACTTCGATTGCTAAGTAAAACAAAGGAGGGAACTTTGCCTTTAAAAGACAGCATTTTGAAAATTGGAAAATCTATCCCACGTTGAATGGTAAATAAATTAGTGGATAGAAATGTCTTTAAAAGGACAATGACAAAGTTGTTCCGATAAAAATTGTAAAAAGTTGGTAAGATAAGAACTTTGAAAATCAATAAAAACAATTAAAAATCGTGTGAAAGAAAAACTTCAAAAATGACACTGGTTTACTGGTTCACTAGTCGATTTTATTAATATTTTATTGGTTTTTCTTTTTATAGTTGATAGAGCACAATCGGTCAAGATTTGAGGCCGATTCTTGATTTTGCTGATTGAATCGGTCGGTTTGATCCGATTTTTATAACATCGCTTATTTCAACTTGGTATTTTAAGTAAACAATTAGAGATTTTTAAAATATAATTCAAATGACATAATTTTAAAATGTCAAGCCATTTGTACGTGTATGTTGCTTGGTCTTTATTGTGATACCATTACACATTTTCACTTAATACTCAATCTAAACCTACTTTTGGATAATGTTTATAAACTGATAGTAAAAATTATCTTTTATCCAAATAGTTCAAATATTTATGAGTATTATACACTTATTCAACACTTATTTTTATCTATTTATAATTTAAAAATTTATAGACACTTCACTAAAATGCTTTAAGTTCTAAAAACTTTAATTCGAAAGTAGCCTTGGATTTATGATCATGGCCAATCTTGAGAAATATGAGGTCTTAGGCGACAAATTGTTATGAAACTCTTAAATGTAAATGAATGAACACTTTTAAAATAAATATCTTATTTTTAATTTTCATAAAAATTAATTTATAAATTTTAAAGAAACTTTAAAAGCTAGCAAAAAATTATACGGAATATTTCCTTATTTTTTTATTTTATTATTGGCAGTCCATGTTCTGCTTGACCTATTAAGCAAGGGGCCGAGCTACATAGCCCGTGCGGGTGACCACATGATTGACATAATATACATATATGGGAGGTCGAGATTGTTTCATTCATGGGACCACGTTGACCATGTGAGGGTACGGTCACCTGGAATGTTAACGGTGTGGGTCGTTTGGCATTTACCTTAAGCGAGTGTGTCTCGAGCTCAGGTTAAACTATAGGCCTTGCTTGTGATAAGCCAAGTCGATGCGTGAGCTTTTCAAATTTTGAAGGCAATTTCTAAATGAATATTGAAAATTGAAATGAGGATTAAGGAAATAGATAGGATTTTAGGACGAGCCCATGAGCCTATGCATGAGAGGGTTTGTGAATCTCACATGGCTTTATTTGTAGGCTTGACTCGACCAATGGCCATGGGGTTGTGGTGGCACAAGCCAAGCGGGTTGACAATTTTGAAATTATTGTCACCTTTACTTTAACTGTCAAATGGGAGAATTCACCTTTTGGTATCAAAGTACTATATATTCGAAATGTTAGCAATAAAACCCCATAACAAAAGGAAAAGAAAAAGTAATGGTGACAAATGTCATATTGTGGCAATTTTATATCCTCAAACAGAAATAATAATAATGAAAATAATTTTTATAAGAATTATGTTGATGATCCAGAATTTCATAAACTCCATGAAAGTTAAAATCTTTCTGTGTCCACAAAATTAATAAAAATGAATCAAAATCATCAAAAATTTCCTCCACTTCTCCTCTCTCTGGTGAAAACACCTATATATATTGGCTTGTGTATATATTTATATACATCACACAAAGAACGCATCAAACGCCAAGGTAAAAAAAACCCATCGTAACCTTCTAATTTACACTATGGCTATTGCTCTTCAGAGTTCACTTCGATTCCACCATAATTCTGTTTTCTTCCCTAGAAGTCCTTGTCTTTTTCAAAATTCCCAATCTCGCCCCCCTTCCCGTTTTTCTTCTGTACGGTGTCGCCCAATAATCCGAGCAAGCTCTGCTGTTGCTGTGGAATCAGTAATTTTTCTTCCCTTTCTTTCTATGAGTATGTTTGGACTTGCTTTTTGTTAAACAAAAAAGGGGAAAAGCCCGGGTTTTTTCCTGCTTTATCAAGAGTGATACTATCGAAAAAAGCTTTGTTTAAGCTAAGCCAAACATGTATTAGCATATTTTGTACATATATATGTATACACATAAAGAGCATATTTTACAAGAAGAAAGAGCCCCTGTTTCAGATGCAAGTTGCTGTTTCCCCAATGTTTCAATTTTGTGTTATTATGATTTTTCCATGTAGTAGTGTTAAATTATATTTCACTGGTACTGATTCATGCTTTCTCAGGAATTGGGCACTGAAGCCCAGGATACTTCAGCTTTTGACTTGTTTGCTTGCCCCATTTGTTATGAACCCCTAATAAGAAAAGGCCCTTCAGGTTTTAACTTGTAAGTTTGGATTTGAAACACATAATAAAGTCGGTTCTATGTGATTTGGTGTGTGTTTAATTTGAATGTGAACTGTTGGCAGGCCAGCAATCTATAGGTCCGGTTTTAAATGTAGGAAGTGCAACAAGACGTATTCGAGCAAAAATATCTATCTGGATCTCACTGTTACTTCTGGGACAAAGGAATACAGTGAATTTATACCGGCTGGAACTGAGCTCTTCAGGTAGATGATCGCTGATCATCGCAAGCTTGTGTTGCATTGGATAGTAAAAGAATTGCAATTTCATGAAATTCTCTTCGAGTTGAAAGTATGAAATCTGTAAAGTAGCATAGTGATGTAGTCTGGCTTGATCATAATTGACTTCTTCTTTCTCAAAGAATGCATTTGTTGCATCACCACTTTCGATTTGACCTCATTTCAAATACTACCCTTAATATGAACTCTATACTGAAGATTTATAATCAAGCAGAGATTAATTTTAATTTTATGTATGCTACAATGAAGCAAGGCACACGGAGGTGGAAAAATGAAATTAAAAGTGTTGAATGGGTAACACTATGCCTGAGAATATACTCACCTTTTTTTATATGTTTTCACCAAAATTACTTGTGCATAAAGCAAAACACTTGAAGGAAGGGAGTGATCCAGCTATAGCCATCATCTACACAAGCATATACAAGAGAGGAACAACAAGAGTAATCCAAACATAAGATATTGGACCCATTGATGGGAGTTGTGGGGATTAGAACTTCCAATATTTATTATTAATATATGATAGAAATTTGATGTTATTAAATTCACTATATTTATAAGTAGGGGACAATAGGTTTAATTTCTCCCTTAGTTTTTGGACATGGACATATATGTTATTGAATCTAGATGCTTTAGGCTAGTGGACAGGCTATAACTGGTATATATTTTCGTCGCCCTCTTGGTGACATTATCACTTGTTTCCATGAAAATATTAAAGGGACGTTAACTACACTTCTGGTTGTTACGTGGGAGAAGGGGGAGTGTATCAGTCTGGTCATGGAGGGGCATAATTGGTCGTGGAAAAAAGAGCTTTCTGTATTATATAAGCATATTTTGCATTATCGGGCTGGCTTCGTTGAATATTAAAGCCACAATTGTTAACTCCAATAATTATTGTTGAAACTTCATGAAGAAGTTTTCAAGTTGCAAGTGACCAACTTGAAGTTGAATTCCTTTCCACCGATCACAACTTGGAAGTGGCAAAATTGAAGTGAAACTCTCCTAACCACCATATTTGACTATTTAAGAAAAAATTTCTATTGAAATTTTTCTTGTTTTCATGTAGATACTTCCATTAAGGAGGTTAACAATTTCTATAAATAGAGGTAAATGTGGGGAGAGAGAATGCAAGCAACTTAGAGGAATTAGAGAGTAGAGAGAAGATTGGGAGTAGAGAGAAAAAAAAAATATTAGTTTCTCCTAAATATTACCTCCTTGTATTCTCATATTACAAGAGAGATTAATTGTTGTTATCTCATTGTATTTAGAGAGTGTTGTAATTCTCCTACGGACGTAGCCTAAATTGGGTGAACCACGTAAATACTTGTGTCCATTTTCAACTGCGGTTTCTCAATTCCATTTTGTTGTAAAGCCAAAGTCGACCCACGTTATTTCTAGCAGCTTCTTGCTTTTAAGGAACTAGAGGATAGAAGCAATAAAAAAATATTCTCGAAAGTTAACGAATACTATGGCTTTTTATTAACTTCCTACCTGACCATTAAACATAAGAATATTGTTGATGAAAAAGGAGTTAATATGCTTCCTAAATGGCATGTGTGAATGTTCTTTAGCCTGCTTCATAATCTTTAGCTTGGTCTACTAATTGATCTTTATGGTAAATTTACAGTGAATTCAATATAAGAATTTATATTCACTTGAATCCCTCTGATATTGAGAACTTTCTATTCTGCCGTGAACATAATCGTATTATTTTGAATTTTATTTTATTTTATTTTATTTTTTATTTTATTATTATTATTATTATTTTAATAAAAAATGTGTTATTTGTGCTCCTGGTTGTCCAGACAGAAAAAAGCTTCACTCTTCTTTTAATTTTCTCAACATTCATGTTTTTTCTTTATTTTTGTTGGTGTCATTGTGGGCACTGGGCATTTATACTGTCTTGTTGTAGTAGTTGATCAAATTAAATACGAATCTTATTACCTTACATTTGTATGAGCTCAGACAAATTTCTTCAAGAATCAAACCTTAATTTTGACAAGTATAGTTTACCTACTAGGCTCAGTCCTAAAGTGAAAAATGGTTTGTCCTCTTTTTCCTTCAGTATTCAGGATGATGGTGGAAGAAGGGGTGGTGGACTTGGTGGGGGAAGGGGTGGAGCAAGTGGGTTGAGATATTGTGAGGTGATGACAATGCCTGCTGGGAAGACTTGAAAAAGACTGGAGATCGAAGTTACGAGAAGATATGTGATTTGTAATGATGTTGTCAGTCAATCAACATCAGCCTTTTCTGATGGAAAGGATGATCTTTGGGTGTGCAAAATGAGTTGAGGTCTCCTTGTAAAGCATCAAAATGATTCTGGGACTTCTATGTGGTTCTGGAAAACTTTCTAGATGAGGATTGATGGGTTTCATTTCATGTTTAAATGTTTATTCAGCTCCTTGTTTAACTAAACTTGAAATTTTGTTCCTATTATGAATAAAATCAGTCATCTGTTAAGTTAGTGCCCTCATTTGCTCGAACAATGAATAAATCCATGATCTAAGACTGTGTATGGTGTTTTAGACATATTCTGTACAGAGAATGCTTAACCCTAATGATAATGCTTTTACTTCTACCAGGAGTCCATTTGTTTCATTTGTGTATGAGAGGGGTTGGCGCCAAAATTTTAACCGTAGTGGTTTTCCTGGCCCTGATGAAGAGGTAAAATTCGTTGCTTTCTGTTCTTATATAAATGCATAAAGTTAATGAATTCTATAAACGAAATATTTCAAGACGATAAATTGATGATTTCGAACTTTGAGAAGTGCAAAATGAAATGGAAGAAAGGGGTAAAAATATAAGACTCTAGGTAATGTTCTATCTGGGTCTTACTTTCACTTGTGTATAAAATATCTTTTGATATATCATATCTTGTGATGCATCCTTGCTACAATAAATATCTGCTTGCTTTATTTTGATGTAACAGGCAAACCTCATTTCAATTTTTTCTTCAAATTTATAACACTTGTCTACATGCCCACATAAATCGTTTGTTGCCACAAAAAAATTTAATGTGAAATTCTATGCAGTTCAACATGGCTCAGGAGTATTTTAAATCAGCAGAAGGTGGAGTCCTTGTGGACGTTAGCTGTGGTAGTGGTTTGTTCTCCAGGAAATTTGCCAAATCAGGGGCCTATTCAAGAGTTGTTGCACTAGATTTTTCTGAAAATATGCTTCGCCAATGTTATGACTTCATAAAAGATGATGTCACTATCTTAGGCTCGTGAGTATTTTGTTTTCTTCTCTTTATAATTGCTTTGGAAGCTGCTCAAATAATACGTATTAGATTTATTGCATCACGGTCTCTTCGGATATCTTCAGAAATCTTGCACTTGTAAGGGCAGATGTTTCTCGACTTCCCTTTGCATCTGGTTCAGTTGACGCCGTTCATGCTGGTGCAGCTTTGCATTGCTGGCCTTCTCCATCTAATGCGGTAAGTTTTCACATTTGCTGGTTTTCACCTTCTTGCAGGACTTGAGAATATCAATTCCATGAGTGTTATTTTTGTGTTCTCTACTGTGGTGATCTGTTTACAAAAAAGTTGTATAGATGTGGACACGGCATTTCTTGATAAACTAGGATACAGCACCACTCGAGCAACATGACTAAAATTATTTGCATATGTAATTCATTAAATTATGTGAAACTAACAGGTTAAATGAATGTCAATCGTACTGAATTCGCATTTAATTACCATGGAAAATTTGAAATTGTAGGCTTTCCCTTGAATATTTAATTATACATGGTGGCAAGTTTGTGCACTTGAAATCCAATTCTTTATGTTTTCGTGACATTATTTGACTTGATGGACACAAGTTTGAGGAGTGTCTGCACAATATGACGTAAGCTTGGCCTACCTTTCGACTTGCTATGACGAGATACATGCCCCATAAACTTAGGATATTAACTTTTCTTCTGAGTTTGATGTCTGAATTGAGTTCCATAGTCTTGATGGTCTTTTAACTTTGAATTGGACCACTGTTACCAAATCTCCTGATCCAACCAATTTGTAACCAGTTTGACTATACTGTTTATATTTTAACTTAAAAGCCTCCAAAATAATAAGAGATGATGTACATGTTTACTTCCCGAAAATGGTCTTTTGTCCTTACTCGGTAGTTTGCACTACTACCCTGTAACATGGTTTGCTATCTCATAAATGTTGAATGGAATACAATTCTCGTGTAATTTTTATTGGATGACGTGTGCATTTTTTTTCCTTCTTGCCATGTATGTTAGGTCGCTGAAATCAATCGTATATTACGAAGTGGTGGTGTATTTGTGGGAAGTACTTTTCTTCGAGTCAGTTCATCGACGCCTGCATTATTGAGGCCTTTCAGACAGGTAATTCCTCTCTCAATTGGATTACTAAACTCTTTTTGTTTCGATCAAGTTCCACGCCACATTGGCGTACTATTGGAAATTAATGGTCACACTGGACTTCTAACCAGCAGGAGTGGACATAATGACAAACATGGATACAAATCTTAAGTTTGGTGACCAGATGAAATTTATATGTTCAGCAATTTCAACGAATTGTACCCCTAGAGCATGAATCATAAAAATTCAAATTTTATCCCAATTGAGATTTAGCTCATCTGAGCCTCAGGTCGATCCTAGGAATCGGTGGCATTATAGAGACTGATACAAGACTAAATATTGTCTTTGGATTATTAAATATGTACAGAAGCAAGTTCAAAGCTTGAAAACACTGATTTGGTATTTCTTCTTAAAAAGGCCTGCTCCATTTCATTGGTACTAGTCAAATTATCGTCTCCTTGGCCATGTAAAGTGGCTGCTGATTGCGATATTTGTCTTATATTTCATTCATCAGGCATTTTTTATTGTGTCACAGAGGATCACGAGGGACTACAATTATTTAACCGAAGAGGAGATTGAGGACTTGTGTAGATCTTGTGGTCTCGTCAATTACTCAAGGACAATTCAGCAATCATTTATCATGTTTTCGGCACAGAAACCTTGAAGGTTTTCTAGCTTTATCCAGATTTGATTGTCGTCCGAGATCTTATTACGGTGCTGTCGATACAATTAAGAAGCACATTTCTATGCCATGTATAGGGAAATTATTTTTACATGTTATTATTGAGAATAAGATTAAGTGCATTCAATGTTGGAAGAAAATCCTTTCTAGTTGCAGACCAATTTTTCCACATGTTCATTTTAGTGCTATTTCTGCCAATTTTCCTATAATCTTGCTACAGTGACAGATTCAATAACAGATGTACAGTGACAGAGAGGACACGTATCAATGTATGATGGATAGTTTGAAAAAAATAAAAATAAAAAATACAATACTCAATCACTATTTGCTACACCATCCTTTCACCTCCATCATTGTCACTAACCCAAGCCAAGTATCATTATTCATTTTCCTATCATGGTGACATTTAAAAGGCTGGGTCTAAGCTGCAAAACTTTCATAGGCTGAAAGAAATGGATATTAGTTCGGGAACGAGTAATGAAATTGACGAGGATAAACCGTTTCAGATATATTTTCATGTCATTGAATCATGTACCGATGGTTGGAGACATTACTAGCCTTTTTTTGTACTTGAAGCTTATTCTTAACTAGACAGTATGGGGGGATTCTATTCACTCCCTGCAAGAAAGACGTAAACTATGACAATTTTATTCATGTGTTTGACGTTGGGGAGTCGGAGAATAATTATTCTACAATTGATTTTAATTGGCTTTTTAGCCGTACTAAACAAGCTCTAATTAAAGTTAAAAGATAGATACAAAAATTACTTTAACTACAACGTTTTTTTTGTTGATTCTAACTTTGTACATTCTTATTAAAAACAATATTTTTCAAGTTTAATATACATTATTAATTTTAAGCTACTAAACAAGCACAATACTTTTAGGGTAATCTGATTTAATTTAAAATTTAATATTATACATCAAATAGTTATTTTAATGAGTTATAACTTAAATTTGCTCTATCCAAATTAACTTTTCTAGAGTCCATAATGTGTTATTTATTACGAGTTTCGGAATGAGCCCAATATTGATAGAATAATTTTGATGCTTCAATAAATACACATTTGGTACGAATATATTATTGACATCGAAACTTATTTTCACTTTAATATCTCAAAATCTCAAATTTATTAAAAGGTTCTTGAGTCAAAATCAAAAGAATCTGGTTACATTTTTAATCACTAAATAATCATAACTCGTCACATTAATGTCTAAAAATTTTATATTTATCACTATTTTGCAATCTAGTCTCTATATTTTGCATTTTTTATAATTGAAAATCATTTATCTCTTTACAAGTCATCCTTAACAATATTCTAAGGACTTCAAATTATGGTTCTTTAAAACTTTGTCATGATTTCTAAATTGCACTTCACTCAAGTTTTTTCAATTAATAATTTTGAAAATAACTATTTACGTGACAATTATTATTATTATTATTATTTTTTTCACAAATAGGATAATGTCGCTAAATATTATGTTATCCTAGTCTCTAGATTTGTCGGAATATTTTTAATTTTAATTTTATTTTGGCAATTCTATCTTTTGGATTGTACAAAGTCTTCGTTTAAAATATAAATATATTATTTATTTAAACATTTAAGTATTGTTACGTTTGTAAAAAATTAACGTTTAAAGGCCTCATAATGATGAGTCGCATAGGGCCTCAAAATTCTCGGGGCTGACCCTATTGTGTATTGTATCATAACGACATCCAAGCATTGAAAAAGCGATTGATGTAATAAACCCCAATGGAAATTGTTCATATCCTTGGAGAACTGGAACAGGATGAAGAAACATGATGAAAAATAGGAACAAAAAGGATGAATCGAGCCTACTGAGTTCTTAAAATTAATTTGCTCCCTTCTATGATGCTTTATCAGCGATTATTTTCCAAATTTTTGTCCCTTTCACAAACAGTACAACAATTTGTAAGAGTTTCAATGAACTCAAACTCCGTTGTTGTTTTTTTTTTTT